TTTATCAGTTAAAATATTATAAGAAAGCGGATTTTTTCAAAAAAATTTCCTTTAAAATCTATGTCTTCTTAAAATCTTTAAAACCATTTACTTTAATGAATAATAAAGTTAATTCAATTTATAAGCATTGTTGTTCTTAAATAATGCAACTTCTTTTTAATGACGGAGTTCATTTCACCGCCCAATGTTAGAAAATATCTGTTAGAATATTATCAATATCCTTGACCCGCAAGCAACTCTTTCCTTGTGGGTCTAAATCAATAATGGCATTGTGTAAAAATCTATTATATAATTATATTCTTTATGAATTATACTATCAAGAAACATATTAAGCTCATTTAGGTGAATTAATATTCACTTAGATTTATACTAAGAAAATTACAATATCGTTTAATACAATAATAATTATATTATGTATGCAGTATATAATTTTATATCATTGTGTATTACATTATAAGATGTCTAAGTGTGCAATAAAAAAAGACTCCAAAAAGAATATAAAAATTTACGATCAAAGTATATGACACTTAGTTTTCAGAAATTAACAATAACAAAATCGAAGTAATTATATTTTTTTCTCACAAGACGCTTATTTATCTGATATACATTTTTTATTAATAATATTATTACTTAGAATACTCGTACTTAAATGTCTACAGTACACGTGAAATTCTTGCTTAATTGTACTCATTCAATCTTTCACTAAAATTATTTGAATTTGAAATATATGTTATTTTTACTTATTAAGTAACCGATAACAAATTATTGCATAAAATTCTTATAATTTTATGAATTTTATGAAAAATCGTATCTGATTTAACATAGTATCTATATAAATGGATTTTAACAATATAATTTGAGTAAAGTAATTTATTGTGTTAAAATCTGAACATTGTAGAATTATTTAGAATTTTCAAATACAAATGTTAAATATAGCTAATGAAATTTGTATTTATAAAGATATACAGTGCATCAGTCGTTCTTAATAAAAATGTGTAATATCGCGAATCAATATATTTGCTTGGATACTATACATGAAATTTTGTAACTGTATTTTTTAATTTCAATCAATGTAAAGGTAGTGAAAGAAATTAAAAATCTGTCATTATTCTATATAATATTTCATATTTTCTACAATTTCATATTTCAAAATTAGCTCCCAATTCATCAAAATTTCTATATTTACATTTAATATATATATATATATATATATATATATGTTTCTTTGCAAAATATGTTATGTATTTACAATAAATTTTATGTATTTTTAAAATATTCTTTAATAATGGTCTTGAATAACTGTCGGTTTAGTATTAATTTTTTTTTACATATTTTAACTTATCTTTATAAATTTTATAATCTTATATACCTTATATTATTATAAAGAAATTTAATAATAGAAATTCAAATGAAATTTATAATAGTTTTTTATATAGTATTTTTTATAAGAATATAAACGCATTCGTGTTGATAATAATTTTAATTATAAAAATAATTAATAAAAATTTTAATAAAAATAAAGACTTTTTTTTTTTCAAATGTACAATTTAAAATTTGCATATTATATTTTATAAATATTTCTCATAATTCAATATTTCTGAATATTCATTCATAAATATCAATATATGTGATATAATACTTTTTAATTTGGTATTTCTCTCCTTTGCAAATTGAAAATCAATTTTCATATTAACGGATTATAAATGTATATTAATATTCAAATGCTTATAAAGAAAATCTATAATCTACATTTATCCGAAAAACAAATGAAAATAGTTAGTTTATCATTAACATTTACTGTTAAGCTGTATTAAATATAAAGCTATATTGAATATTTCGTTACTATATTATCTGTTAGATTAATAATGAAGTAAACGTAGTGTTTGATGAGGAATTAAGCACTAAAAGCAAGAGTTCATCCCCTAATTATAGCCATTATTCTGACGCAATAATCAGTAAGTATTATGCCGTTTAATAAATGAATTATATTCTCTAACGAATGTATCGTAATTTAATATAAAGAAGCTGGAGAAAGTCAAGCAATGTCGGGAGGAAATGATGTAAAAATAGTGCCGGAACAAATTATGCAAACTTCGAGGACTTTCGATAGCACTACAACATCAATTGTACGTAACCTCAAACTTAAACGTTCAGATGGACAGATAATATAATTCCAAAAGAATACATCCTAAAGAACAAATAGCAATGGAAATGTTGTATTTTACTATTATTTTATTTAATATATAATGTATTTAAATAGGCATGATGTTATAAATTTTCATCATTGATATTACGTACTAGAATTTGTGATTCGGCTATTGTACGAATCAGTTATTATACAAAAGGAAAAATGAAATTCGATTGGTGTAAATTAATAAATACTATAATTTTCTAGTATATTATTTTCATCTAAAATTATGTTTAATACGTAATTTTTTGTATACATTTAATATATAATGTATTTAATATTTAATACGTATTGAAGATACGTATAGATAAATAGTATTTATTACATTTCTTATTACAATTTACATTATAATATAGAAAAAAATTTCATTTTTGAGTGATAATTAATTATTTACCATTAAAAATATATTATGTGCATAAGTATTGAAACAAAAAACTTTAAATTCTACATATTTTATCGGATAATTTAAAAATTTAAAAATTTAAATACATCACTACATTTTATATAAATTAAAAACATTATATGCCTAAAACATATTGCAAAATAATTACTCGGTACTGTATCCTTTTTTTTTTTTTTTTTTAATGGCATACAATGAATAATGGTACTATAATAGCTTCACTAAAATTGATTTCAGTAAAGTACGCAGATAAAATAGCCATGCGCTCCATCTTTATTATAATCGTTTATTTTTTGATACTATAGTTATTATTTTTCAACGAGAAAATTCTTTTGTATTGGAAAATTGTAAAATAACAACGGGTTTTACTAATTGTTTAAAATTTCAATATTCATTTAGCACCACATCTTTTCACGTGTTGATTCGCTGAAAGTATGATAAGCTGAAAGTTAAAGTAAGACGAATTAAATTGCTATAGTACTATTACTTATATTTTAGAAATGAAAATTCAATAGAATAATACAGAATATTAGATTATTATTTTTATATAATATCTATATGATTATATCGTTAAAATTATATTATAAATGTTGTGGAATAGAAAGCTATCAATTATATTATAAAAATAAAATTGGAATGTTAATAAAACTTTGTTATGAACTAATATGTTAATAAATGCACTTTGTAAATGATTTATACTAAATAGCAAATTAATTTCAAATAGTTAATTTCATATATATATATATATATTGTAAAAGATTTTCTAATATATTTTCTTTTAATATTGTTTAACTAAATTTTTAAATATATATTTTTGTTATCGATACTTTTTATATGTCTATAAACGGAATATAATTTAAAAATTCTTTTAACATTTTTTAAAACCTGTTGTTTATCCAAAATTTCATAGTTTGATTTAAAATAAGAACTAAGTAGCTTTAAATGAATAGCAAAATGTTAATATTTAAATTATCTTGTGCTGTGCAGATTTTATAATAATGCAATATAAATTCATCTAGCTAAATTTCGAATTTGTCGAATAAATATTTTTAATTCTTGTATTTCAGCATTTGAAATATATTATTGTAAAATGTTTGCACGGAATTCTTAAGTGAAAGAGGATAACTTCTATAAGTATAATTTAAATAATTTTGCATGATAAAAAATGCATATGCATTTTAAAATGAATATTACATTTACGGATATTAAATTATAAGATGTATTTATCAGATATATTTATAAATATTTTTTTATGCATTTTAGGTGTTTACTTATTGATTATCTTTTTATGAATACAAATTAGTAAAAGTTAATATTGTAAAATATAGAAAAATTAAAAAATTTTAAAGTAAAAGCAAACTCACATATTTCACAAGAAATGTTTTCATTACTATTAATTAAAATAAGCATAAATTAATTATTATTAGAGGATAGGAGGAAAATAAAGAGGATAAGAAATATCTACAGAATAAAAATAATAACTATTTATATACATTTTCAAAAAAGTATAAGAAGAACGAAAGTCCATCAAGAAAAAATATTGTCAACTTTAAATTATGTACTTATATATATTATTTTAATTACGCATTTCAATTCATATTAATTTATATGTCATTCAATAGATAAATTCGAACCTCTGAAAAATATCATGTAAGCGAAGATTAAGTGAATATAGCCAAAAGAACAAACAATAATATCGGTGTGTAGGTGTGATTAATTTAATTTTTCAGCTTCATGCATTATTTACTCAAAAGTTATTTAATATTTTTTGCTAGAAGTACATTAGAATACACTAATATCGATTAGTATTTTATACAGTTATTTAATTTTCAATGAAATATAAAATAAGTAGTATCGAATGGAATTTATACACACACACACACACACACACACACACACACACACATACATATATATATATATATATATATATATATATATATATATCATAAAGTTATGTATATAATCAGCTTATAATTTTAATGAAATAAATAATTGTTTTATAATATTTGTACTTTAATACCTTTTCAATTTGAAATAAAGTAAAAATACTATTTTATTTATTTTATTTGAATAAATATTTAAAACAAATTTTTTTTTAATTTCTTTGTAGCTAATTATTATTTGTGCCATGTTTTACAACAATTTATAATTCAAGTAGTTATGAATGAGCTCGCCATGCAATGAAATTTCTCCTCTATTCAACAAATATTTCATGCAAATTAAAATGTATGATACAAGACTTGGCATAATAATAGAAATAGCGATAATTTTCATTTTCATTAAATAAGATCATTAGGCACTGTTATCAAAGATAGAAAATTGCATAAATTCACTTAATTTCTTAGCTCAAATCAACGTGGATTTTAAACAGCAACTTTCAAATATTAAACTGAATTTTCATTGTAAAAGTCATTTCCAGAGGAGACCTTCGCACCAAAGGTGCAAATAAAATACGAGATCGGCCTCGATATGCTGGATCGTAATTCGGAAATTGAGCGTCGTCGTCAATTTTATAAGAGCTTTCGCTTAGAGGAGTTGTTCGAGGATAAATGCTTGAAGGCGTCGGACTTAGGACGCGATTACTACTTGCCCCTCGAAATGTTCGATGACGAGGAGTACGACTGCAGGTAGGTACTTGGGATGGTTATTTCGATCTGGATAAAAAACAACACTAGTCGTACCCTGCAGAACCCCACAAGAGTGGATGAATCTGGGTCTGATCGATGGTAAGCAGCATCCCCTACCGGCGACAATTTTCCTCCAGTTTCCCAAGTGTCAGCCAGTCGCGGTCGTCGATTACGACGAGGGCAGGAAACTCTGGCATATCTTCACCCTCGAGAACGAGCGCTGCTTCTTTCAGTTACCACGCATATACGTGTACTTCCAAGCCGAAGATCCACGAGTCTTCGCCGATAGGGTGGCGAACGCCGTGCTGGAGAGACGGAGATCAGAGGCCAAAATGAGGTAATCATCATGCGTAATTTGCCTAGGTATGATTATATCATCTTGACGGAGGGGGGGGGGGATTTTTCACGAGCTCGTATCACTATCGTGCAAGAGGAAGAGATAGAGGGAGAGAAAGAGAGAACGAGAGCGACAGAGAGAGAGAGAGAGAGAGAGAGAGCGAGAGAGAGAGAGAGAGAGAGAGAGATGGAGAGAGAAAGCTGCAAAATGTTAATTGTTTTTCTCATTAAAGGATATACTTTTATTCTCAAAAAGTGCGCTGCTAGTTAGTGCCAACAAGCATAATGAACATAAATATAAACTTGAATACAATAAAAAGAGCAATAAAAAGAGAGCAATTGTAATATAACTTCTTAAAAGAAAAAGCATTTGTATGAAATTTTATTAGAATTTTAACTTTATTATAAAGCTTTGAAGTTGATTATACGATTGTTTTTTTTAAATATTATATAAGTTTATAAATATATTTGCTTGTTTTTTTTTACGAACGGATTAACAATTTCATTGAAAACAGAATACGTATTTTATAATATATAACACGTAATTAAAACACTTGACTTTAATACTTAAACTACATTATGTAAAAAGTAGATAAAAGCACTTTTAAAAGTGTAACGAAGGCTCTTTACGGCATTTTCATATATTCTAGTAGTTTTAAAAGAAGGCAAATTTAGGTTATTCAATAATTTCATTATTTATAATATTCCATCAATATTATTAATATTTATATTAACTGTTAAAACATACATAAAGAGATATTTTATTAAGTTATGAAATTCCGATATATAATAAATTAATTTTTATTAATTTTCATGCAATGGATTTAAAATTGAACAATATATATTTTATTTCAAACGATTAAATGTATTTTTTGTTTAAATTAATATACAAACTTTTTCTCAACTTTATATTAAATATGGCCTTTTTCTTACATTTATTTCGAAATTAAAAATTCATTATTTTTACTTCGAATCTGTATTTTGAATAAATCCACTTAAAATTAAAAGTATTATTAACTGTTAACAATAAAGGAAATTCTTTTATAAAGCTAAGTTTTTTAAAAATAAAAGTAGTCAAATGATTAGTTCAATTTTGTGGAGTTATTCACGATTTTTCATGAATAATCGGTTTTTGAATATTCATTATGTAATGATTAATATAGAGTTTTATTTTTTTATTTTAATTTAAGACTGAAAATACATGAAAAAAAAAAAAAAAAATTCGTGAATTTATCTGTGAAATTTGTTCACTTTAATGGACGAATCAAAACAAATTAAGCTAGACATAAATGCCTCGTATCATTCGTCTTGAAAAGTTAAATAACGTCTGAAAAAACAGAATGAGTGAGAGAGCGCGCGCGCGCTTGAGAGAGAGAGAGAGAGAGAGAGAGAGAGAGAGAGTCGGAAAGAAACGCGTTCAATATTATTTTTCAACTTAAATCTACTAATTAAAATGTAAATAAGTCGCTCGATTACAAGCCATTTAAAATCTTTGTATTCTGAGCAAAATACATTATTACCAAAATAACTTAGAAATCATGAAATTAAGAGAGTCACATTCAAATGCTCTCAAAGTAATTAAATTCAAAGTAAAAAAAATAATTCGTAATATGGCCAAGCCCTTCCCGCAGTTTGATTATGCGTCACAAAAAATTTTCGCTAGTAATAGCAATAGGAGCATTGCAGGTACAATTTATATCTCGACTGCATACCGACCGAAGGAATGGACGGCTTAAGTGATAGCGAGAGGGAGACGATTATACGTCTAACAGTGGGCACAAGAAATCATCACAACTACTCGGTTAATCAGATCTCATCGGTTAGTATTCGAAAGGCAGAATTGATAAAAGTTATAGCACGCGCAGCTCGTGCTCGACGCTAAAGTAAGAAACGGCTATGAGCAAGTCTGTTTCAGGTAATGCGAGAAATTGAGCGCAATTATCACCGGGTGATGTCAGATCTGGAATGCGACATCTACTTTTTAACCATCACACCGTATCTGATTTCTTCTCTGATAATATCGCGTCGTCGGATTCTGTGCGTAAAATTCCAATTTCGAAGACGAAGAATTTTCAGGTTATAAAACATTCTTGTTCAATGTTCGATACCATCTTTTTTCACGATTATTGCACCATTGAGATATCTTACTTTTCTTTTACGGATTATTTTACCGTATAGGACACAATGGGATATTATAATATTGTAAAAATAAATTGTCAAGTGTAACGATAATGTTATTTAATTATATTATATACTGAAATGTAGATAGAGATCAAAGTATGGATAAATTACTTTTAATAGATACTTAAAATTTTTTAACGAATTTCATGAATAAAAGGGTCGTTTAAAGTACATTTTTCTTCCCGTTCCTCATATTAAATCGTAAATGTTCATCTATCAATATTAATATTCATAAATATTAAAAACTTTAACTCAATGTCATTATTATGATAATTTATTATGATAAATTAATAATTAAACTAATTAAACGACAAATTAACTTAAACGCTAATATATAATGACATACATATATAATTACTTAATATTATTTTCTAATAATTATTAATAATTAATAATTTCTAATGTTTTCACTTTTATCCGACTTCCGACTCGTCACACGACAATTTAACGTAGTATTTATGAATTTCTTTAAAAATCATCGATATTTTTAGGATATTAGAGAATTAATCAAATGGCATATTTTATATGTCCAACCACAAATTTATGAAACAATAAAAGCCGTCGTTCAGGAATGCAATAAAGTTTCTCTAAAATCGCTTTTTACATTCAAATATGGGAAGACAGTGACTATCCAAGAATTTGAAGTTCAACAACTACATGAGATACACACATTTATAAATTATTTAAAGGTTCAATGGTTAAATAATATTTCACAGACTATTAAAATGAATTTAAGAGACATTGGGAAAGGATGGTTCGATTTAAAACAAAAAAATTATGAAATTTATGAAGTTATGAAATTGAAGAGACTAATGGAACTTATTAAGCAATATATGCAGGTTAATAAAAATATTCGTATGTTAATGCGTATAATAATTTTCTTATCGCTCAAAATTGAATAAAGTTTGTGTAATTTTTCATCAAAATTCCATTATAAAACTATTTTTTAAAACAAATATTAATATTTTTACTTCCCATACAACATAGACTACATTAAGAGATATAGTGATAAATTCATCATCATTATTTCTTTCATTCTTCGAAACTCCAACTTTATGTTTTGCCAATATCAAACCAGACTTTACTTGGGATTCAGATTTACGAAGCATGCCGTTCAAATCAACAAATTCTCCAATTTTTCAAATAGAAATTGATATGAATGTGAAAGGTCCTTTCTTCTCTACGAATCCAAAATTATACGAGGTTTTTCAAAAACATTTCCCATCTATCTAAAACACTATGTAAACTGGAAAAGCCTTGGCTCTATACTAAATTCGTATATTTTAATGAATCAGGAGAAATTGGATTCCTTATACTTTAAATCAATAAAATTATGTCAACAAATAAGTCGAATTCATCCGATGATTTTGGAAAATTTAAAGTTTTCGAAAGGATTGTATATGAATCACATACAGTTGGAAGGAGACTTAATATTTGAAGTGCGCAAGCGAATAAAAGCAGCTTATAAGAAATCTACAATTTCTCTGTTTGCTTACCTTAAAAAATTCGAAAACTACCTAAGTCTATATAACCTTGATATCGATCAATACGTAAAGTAAGACATATATTCTTAGATTTAATACTAATTAAATAACTTAATAATACAATAAATATTTTCATATTTGGAATGTATTTTTTTTTAGTTTTTTTTTTTTTTTTTTATTAGTATTATTTTTTCTTTCAATAACTCCTGCCATAAATTTGGAATGCAAATATTTTGAGAAATGTAAATATTAATACTTTATCAAGCATACATAGTCTTTCTCATTATTTTGAGGATAAAATACTGGATTATCATAAACTCAAGGCAAATAATACTTAGCAAATAGGCAAATATTACATAGATATATGCGTATTATTAAATTCAATGGAAATTCTTAATGATCATAAAATTAAAGATCTTCTGACAATTAATTGGATGAATTTGCTCTCCAACTAAAAATCTAATTATTAGATACACTTATAACAACTGTTTCTTGTTTTATTAATCAGTTAATTTTACATTTTTACTTTTATTAATTAAGATTATTAAATTGTTTTGTATTAAAATACCTCTGTATTTTTCTGTTACTATTGTCGGGAATCATAAATAGTCTGTGAAGAAGCTCGTTTTTAACTAGTGAATTAATATAACAATATTTATAAACAAATAGGAAGTTTGAAAATGACGAATATACAATAGTATCGTTAAAAGAAGAGATAATGATGCATTATTCTTCTATAGCAAAGTTAAATAATGAAATACCATATAGCATATGTATTGGTGCATTTTTTGTGAATATCGAAAATTTAAAAAAATTTCTAATGAAGAAATATCAAGAAATTATAAATCAATTGTTCCAAATGCATACCAAACGTCTCAATTTACAAATTAATGAAATGCTCGATGATTATAAATTTATCTTCCGAAAACTTAACGTGGAGCCAACTAGTATAGAACAAATATTTGAATTACGCGATTGGATAGAAGGCATACCAATGGCCGTGTCCATACATTTTGAAAATTTTCAAAAATTAAGAATCGATTACGACATGATTGATCATTTCTTATGGAATTTATCAGACAACGATTTCCAATCTCGATACGAAGCCATGCATTTTCCATTGCGAATTAAAATCCAAGTAAATTATCTATACAGTTTTTAATTTCCCTTACATTTATATAAATTACTTGCATTCTTTTTCCATAATACGTAGATTGATCGACTGAACATAAGTATGATAGAGTTAGAAAAAACGAAATTTTATAAAGCACAATTAGAAGATATAGCGAATACAAATCAGAATATCGATTCTATAGTTGGAAATGTAACAACTATTGCCATGCAAAATGATATTACCAAAATCAATGAAATAACTACTGAAATTCATCTGACCTGGAAGATAATGAAAGATTTACACGAATTCAGTATTTTATTAAATTCACGTCAAAAATTATTCGCTCTCCCTACTGTACGTTTCAATAAACTTACGTCATTAATAAAGGATTTTGAGCCTTACAAGAATTTTTGGTTAACAGCTTCTGGTTAATTATAATCTAATAATATTTTCAACTATATATTAAAATTTATTTTTATTTTTAGTATATTTTGATTTTAGATTGGTTAAACTGGTATCATATTTGGATGGAAAATCCTTTAGTAACCATCAATGCGGCCAATATAGATATAGTTGTTAACGATATGTACAAAATGTTGGGACGATGTATAAAATCATTGCATGATCAACCTGGTATAGTAAATAGATTCTATGAATCGCTGTATTAAAATAGATGTATTAAAAAAATTTTAGAATTCACGGTCGTGTTGCCATTGATACTTCAGTAGAATAGAAAATAATCCTTTATTATGATAGTTATGTTTAAATTAATTATATATATATATATTTTTTTTTTCTCTTTTTTTTTTAATCGATACATTGAGCATGTGAGCATGTATGTAAACAAAGAGAAAGAGAAAGAGAATGATCAATACTCTTAGATTATGAGCATGCATTACTTTCTAATCCATTTGGTAGTTCGGAGCCGGATTTTGATAGTTTCCACTGACAATTCAGTATTAAATTGTCTTTGACATTTTAAACTAATTGATTTCTTTCAGATGATCCCCTCGTTGATGAATAAGTTTTGTTTTTTCTTTTTTTTTTTTTTTTTTTTTTTTTTTTTTTTTTTAACTTTTCAGACAATTCTTTTTATGAGCTCATAATTATCGTCTTTCTCGAATATATCGAATAAGCTGTATATTGATGTATCTTAATTCATTAATTAAACAAAAAAAAAAAAAAAAAAAAAAAATTATCTTTTATAAAAGTACGACTTATATTAATCTATATTACAGTATTCAATGATTTTTTTTTAATTGTCATTTACATTAAATATTAGATATTATTAAATTGGCTGAAGATTTAAAAAATCAAATAGAACAGTTCAAGCCGTATATAAGTGTTTTACAATCTTTTCGAAATCCTGGTATGAAAGCTCGGCATATAGATAGTATCAGTGAGAAAACAGGAATCACCATCACCTTCAGTCCCAATTTGACATTTCAAAATTTACTGTCCTACAATGTTATGGAATATCAAGAAATAATTAAAGAGACGGCTGAAACTGCTGGAAAAGAGTATGCAATTGAAAAAGCTTTAGAAAAAATGAAAACGGAATGGGAACCTCTTCAAATGGAAATTATAGAATACAAGAATACTGGTTAGTACATAAATCAAAAATAAATAAAAAAAATTAAAGATATTAAATAATTAAATTAATAAAAAAATATTTTATTTCACGTGGGAATATTTAAATTTTCCAGGAACATATATAATGAAAATAACGGATGAAGTGCAATTACTTTTAGATGATAATATAATTGTTATGCAACAGATTAGTTTCAGTCCATTCAAAGATGTATTCAAAGATGATATCGACGATTGGTATTTCAAATTAAAGCTTTCTCAAGAGGTCATTATATTATGGATGGAAGTACAAAAGTAAGCAGTTTCGCATATTGATATGTGTTAAGCTTAACATAGCCGTGCCGTTCATTAATATCCATTACATATATAAATTGTATTAAAAATAGATTATGGATATACTTAGAACCAATATTTTCTTCCGAAGATATCAGTGTCCAATTACCGGTAGAATCAAAAAAATACAATACATTGGATCGCAATTGGCGTCGAGTTATGAAATCAGCATACGACAATCCATTGGTGAATTATCTATCGTTCGTTTCGTAAAACGCTCATTTTAGGCTCAATCGCCAATTAATTTGCCACATTATTTTTAATGAATTGTAGATTATCAAAGTATGTCCGGATAGAATGCTCTTGGAGACCTTGCGCGAGTGCATAAATCTCTTGGAAATGGTACTAAAGGGGCTGTCTGATTATCTTGAGAGTCGAAGAATACTCTTCCCACGTTTCTTCTTTCTCAGCGATGACGAGCTGCTTGAGATACTCGCCCAAACGAAAAATGTACAGGCGGTACAGCCGTACTTAAAGAAGTGCTTTGAGAATATGAAGGAACTGCGTTTCGAAGATGATTTGACAATAACGCGCATGTATTCCGCGGAGGACGAGGAAGTTATTCTTAATCCGTCTGTGAAGCCATCGGGCAGCGTGGAATATTGGTTGAATACAGTTGAGAGCTCAATGAAATCAACTATTCGTTTCGAGATAAGCCAAGCCATAGATAAAATCGAAATATTGTCGAGAAAAGAATGGATTTATATGTGGCCCGGACAGGTTTCACTTTGCGTCGGACAGACATCATGGACCGCTCACGTAGAAAACTCCATCACAACAAATGGCTTATCGAATTATGCAAAAATCATGATATCACAAGTATGAACCATATGAATTTATTTTTATGAAATTGTCGGGAAATTCAATAATTGCTTACGAGCCAGCTTTACGTACAAGCTGGATGATCTTCGAAGTTTAGTTCGCGGCCAGCAAACGGAAATCCAGAGATTAATGCTTGAGGCCATAATAACGATCGAAGTCCACGCTCGTGATGTCCTTCTAAAACTGATTGAAGAGAGAGTTTCTAACGTCAATGATTTTGATTGGATTTCACAATTACGTTACTACTGGGTCAACGACTCGGATCTCAAAGTACGCGCGGTTAATGCTGAATTTCAATATGGGTTAGTATACTAAAAAATAAAAATTAACAATCTCATACCCTCGAGCCATATCACATTTAAAACTGATAAGATCTTCTTTTTTTTCTCTTTTCATTATTATTATTATTATTAGGTTTTTTTTTTTTTTTAATCGATTAAAAATCTCTTCCTAATCCGAGGTATGAATATCTTGGCAACAATGGACGGCTCGTAATCACACCGCTTACCGATCGATGTTACTTAACGCTGACGGGAGCTTTGCATTTGAAATTCGGCGGTGCTCCAGCTGGACCCGCAGGCACTGGAAAAACCGAAACAACCAAGGATCTTGCGAAAGCTTTCGCGATTCAGTGCGTTGTGTTTAACTGCTCCGATCAGCTTGATTTTATATCGATGGGAAAATTCTTCAAAGGACTTGCTAGGTATAATGGTTTTTCTTTTTTTATGCTTTTCTTATCATGCTATCGTCTATATTTTATGGGAAGCAACTCGATGTGCCAAATCATTATTTTATAGTTCCGGTGCTTGGGCATGTTTCGACGAATTCAATCGTATCGACATTGAAGTTCTATCTGTTATAGCACAGCAAATCATGACCATTCAAAAAGCTCAACAAATGCAAACGGAAAAGTAAGCGAACTTGTATTTTGTTGTAAAAATTTGTTTTTAAGTAGACAGAACAATATAAGAATTTCCAAATTATTTCAATATTAGAATAAATTTACATATCAGTATTATTAAGTTTTGTTACCATTTAAATTTTGATAAGGTTTATCTTCGAGGGGGTTGAACTTCGCTTGAGATTTTCTTGCGCTGTTTTTATAACCATGAACCCAGGTTACGCAGGACGAACGGAACTGCCAGATAATTTAAAAACTCTCTTCCGGCCTGTTGCGATGATGGTACCTAACTATACCTTAATAGCAGAAATTTCATTATTTTCGTGTGGCTTTAGCGATGCTAAGGTCCTTGCGACAAAAATTACTGCAACATTTAAATTAAGTTCGGAACAACTCAGTTCACAGGTACAGTTTCTCAATTAAGATTCTGTGTTTATTACTATTTTAATAGACCGAATTAATAATTTGATATTTTTTGTACTAAAGGATCACTACGATTTCGGAATGAGATCGGTAAAGACAGTAATAGCTGTTGCTGGAATATTAAAACGCGAACAAAAGGATATGGAAGAGCCTCAAATTTGTTTACGAGCATTGAGGGACGTCAATGTACCCAAATTTTTAAACGATGACTTGAAATTATTTAACGGTTTGTTATTATCTTAATTATAATAAATATGAAAAAATTGTCGCTTTATGAACAATACAATACATATTTGCATTTGTTTATTTATGTCAACGTGAAATTTATCAATCACTTTAACTAAGCATATGAAGAAAAAAATTTATTTATAAGTATATATTTTTAGGAATTGTTTCCGATTTATTTCCAAAAATAGTGGAAAAAACTATTGATTACGATATATTCATCGCAGCAATCAAAGAGACGATAAAGGAAATGCAACTAAGCGCTGTACAAGGTAATGATTATTTTACAATTCATTATTACTAATATTTTCTCTAATTGTAAATTATATAGTTTATAATTGAATATTAATACAAGTTGAGTAATGTTTCAAAAATATATTTATTTTTATTTCAATTTAATACGCAGTTCCGTTCAATTTGCCATAAATTAAATTTAAATAATGTTTTTATATTGGAAACCTATTTTTATATAAGAAACTTATTACGGTACATAAATATCTTCATGGTCTTACATATTTTAGATAATATATTCAGTTTAGTAATAACAGAAGACGCAATTAGATAAATTATAATAAATAGTTGTAATATTTTATTTTATAAAAACTTGCGACGTATATAAAATGTCTGTATTGGAAATTATTCAAATTTCATCGTATGTAAATCTATTCTCAGAAGCCGCAATATTTTCTTAAAAATCAACATAATTTCTTAAATGTTGAAAAACATTTGCTACAGAAAAAGAACATTTTCATAAATTTATTTCCATATTTCGATCGTATTTAAAAGCATTTAGAAATTATTATTTATTAAATTTTCGAAAAATAAATAAAAGTATTTAATCAATAATAGTTAAAAAATTTTTTCTTAAAAACTTTATTTTAATATAAAACGTATGTTTGACAATTTTAACATTTTGTAAATTATTCAATTAAAAATTATTTGAATTTAAAAATTTATAGATATCATCTAGATTTATTTCTAATCAAATATTTCATATTTTAAAATTATTCCCCTAATTATCAAAGTTCATAAAATCGAATAATAAATTATTATTTTTTTATGAAATTATATTTATGTATAAAAATATTAAATCAAAAACGATATAATTAATAATATATTTATAAAATATAATGAAGTTATTGATTAATGCGATACATAATTTAATTTTACATTACTAAAGATTATGATTTTCTTGACTAAATTATATGATTATATGAAAAATTTAATGTAGTCTATAAAAAAATTCAATTGTGGACTTGTATATAATCATTTTTAATAAATGATAAATAGATTCTTTATTAATAGTACTTACGATTGTTGAATAATATTAAAATAGTAAAATAATAATAAAAATAAAATTAAAAGTAATTTAAAAGATCGAATATAATGAAAAAGAAAAATTAAATTTTTGATGAAAATTAAATGTTTTGAATAAATCTTTATTAAATAATTTAATTTCTAAGAAGTAAATAAAAATAACTGCACGATTAAAATTTGCTTCAAATTGAATATAAAAAGTGTCTTCAAAATAAATAACAAATTTATTATTAAGAAAATCCTTAAAAATTCAATGTCTAAAAATTATGCTAAACACGAACATTTTTTACAATACTTTACTCGATCTGTCTATTCACGAAAATAGAATCAAAAGAACGAAGGTAAAAGTATTTATTGAAAATGCAGATCGATGTCCAAGTAGATTGATGCTCTTTGCGTGAACGCATGTTTAGTCTGAATAGTACTGAAGCAATTCACCATCTAAAGTTCAAATTTTTGTCTTCTTATTGTGGATTCTTATTGACTTTTATCAAGTCGTAATTTTTTTTTCCATCGTATTATCTGAAATGATATGACGGATTGAGTCACATGTATTTCTCGATTATTTCATACACTCAACACCGACATCTGACTAAATTCTTCCTAATTTTTACTTATTAAGCACATTTACTCAACGTTTATATCCCTTCGCATTTTCTACGAAACCATCGAGAGCTTTTTTATTGATCATATTTTGATATTTACAGATTTTATACATAAAGTCATCCAGTTATATGAAACCACAATTGTTCGTCATGGCTTAATGCTTGTGGGGCCGACTGGTTCTGGAAAAACTAAGGTAGGATTTTTATTTCCTATTAGAATATTTTTTTCATTCATTATTGTTTTTTAAATCATAAATTCCAATAATGGTCTATTACGAATCTTGATTTACAAATATAAATTAAAAAATATTAAAATATCAACATTTTTACTATTCTTGTAACATAATTTAATAATTATTATAATTAATTAATTAATAATTAATTAATACAATAATTAATAATTAATAAAATAATATAATAATTAATATAATAAATAATTAATAATAATTATTAATAATTAAAATACATAATTTAATCTTTCACTTAATTATATATTTTATCAGAAATCTTCAATTATGATTTTAAAACTCATAATTATCAATATTTTGTAAATGTTAAAAAGAAACTTTATAAATCAAAGTTTTTTGAAATTATTAAAATTTTTTTTTTTTTTTTAATGTAACACTTACAAATTTTCATCGCATATAATGTTATTAATTTAAATAAATACAAGTACCTTAAGCAGATATTTAATATATTGATCATTATATGTTAAATTGATTACACTTATTTAAGAAATATGCATATAAGACTATTATTATCATAAAATATATTTTGCAAATATAAAATTAATCTATCTTTCCTAATTAAATTCATTTTATTATTTAGTTTTTAGAAATTATTGTAACTAAAAAATATTTATTGTGTTTTTGTAGGTAAAATTTCATTTTATTATATCAAAGTTTATTAGTAATATTTCACATTATGTATAGATAACTATAAATATAGTCTTGCTGTAGGAATTAAAATTAAAAAATAATATTTAATATTATGAATTTTTTAATATAAATAACGTATAAAATAATTATCCGAATCTTTAAATATTATATGAAAAATCTAACTAGAAAAATTAATGTTTGTGACATGAATAGCATAATTGTTTTATTTAACACGATAAAACGGTTTAAAAACAATTTCAAATAAATGCCTTAAACAATAATGTCATTGTATATGTGGTAAATAAAAAAACTAATTCATACATTTTTTCATGTTATTAATAGTAGATTTTAAATTGAAATTATAAAAATAAAATTATTATTGACAGTTTAATTAGTCAATCTATCGCAATTAACATTTTAAATTTATGACTTTCATAATTTAAAAGTATTTTAACACGTTAGAACTTAATAAATTATAAAGAGCATTGCTGACCTTTTATAATATAGTTTCAACTAAGTAATTTTTGCATTTAAGAAAAATAAAGATAAGAAAAATTATTATAATTTTCATAATACTAAGGTATTTCTGCTCATTATTCAATAAAATTTTAAGATAAGGGCAATAATGTGGCAGGATGAAACTAAAGTAATTATTCCGAATATAATATATAAAACATAATTGTCGAATTCAATAAGAAAACTAGCGAGTAGAAGATAGTCTGAGATATATTAAAACAAAGAACGAAACCAGAATATAACGTAAAATATGAAAAATAATTTACCCACCATAAAATATAACGTTAAACAGAAAATGAACATAAGAATTTGAGTTATAATTTCGACAAGATATTCTCAATATGATAATATAAATTTAAAATATTGTAATAAATAAAATAATAATTTTGTTTTTGTAGTTAACAGTTATAAAATTTAAATACGTACTTCTTATTATATAGAATATTAGTTTAGTCAATAATATAAGTGGAAAGTACGTCATTGCTATGATAAACATTATCATATTAGTTAAGAATATTAATTTGTCTTGAAAATCATTGTTATTGTAATAAACCAAAATTATTATACAACAAGGATTTAATCAATTTTACTAGCCGCTCAATATATTTTTTGATACTATATTATTCCCACCTTATGGTACGAAAATTACAGGACAATAAATAAATTCTATCTTATAGAATATTCTATTTTCTTGCAAAATCTGATAAACTTATCTGTACAGTCGATTGTCGATAAATACTTGCGAATGGCTGCTTTACTACATTTGACAAAAAAAGTCAACTTTATCAGTGTATAGAGATCATACTTTTTATCCATACTCTTATCAATTTCATTCTTTATTTCGTTAGAAAAGATATTGAAACTTTTGTCTCTTCTTTTTCAAAGAATTTGTGAAAATGAAATTTAGTTGAAAAATATATAAATAAAAAATACTCTACACTACTGCGAATATACAAATATTATTTATACTTATTAAAATTAAATGTTTCAAATACATTGTCTATGAAATTTGATTTGAAAAATGATTATATATTAAATAGAAATTATATAAAGTATGATCGAATAAAATTCACTAAATTTTAAATTACTTAAACCATTAAAAATTATGTTTAAATCTCTTAACGTTATGAAGTTATAAAATAAAAGACTTTTATTCATTAAAACAGTTATTACGTAATCATCATAATTAACTATATTAACAGCGATATATACCATAATTTTCAATTGGATTAAAAAGATATTTTTACAATATTATTTTAATTAACTACCAAATAGTTAAAAAATGTTAAATAATGTCAAATTTTAAACCTAAATGACATAATATGAATTATGTTTTATATAAAATATAAAATATTACTTTATTAAGAATTTCAATATTAATTAATGTAATTTAAACGAAGAATGCCTTATTAATCGTATGAGGTACGATAAACTATAAATATAAATAATTAAATATACATATAAATATTTAAAATTGTATTTTTTTAAAAATTGATAAAAATATATTTATTCAGATTCGGTAAATAACATTATTGACAAATATGTTATGTAGTTACTAAAATAAATTATTTAAATATAAATGTTATTTATTTTAAATTCTTAATGAGAAATATCTATTTGAAAAATTTATTACTATTTGTTTTCATTATGTAGGACTTAAACTTAATGAAATGATTCCATTCCTTTCACATTCATTTTCATTCATTTCTTTCTTTTATATATGTTTAATTTAAAAAAGAGTTTACGGTAAATAAGTTTTTTAGAAACAATATTAAGATATATTATTTTGAGTAGATTTCGTAATTATAGATATAATTAGAAAATTAATGTATTTTAATTCTTATTATTATAACAATATACAAATATATATTAAAAAATTTTTAATTCTTACATTCATGCATAATAATGTATATCACGTTTCTCAATTAAACATTTAATAATTGAAATTTAACAATTTCTCTAGTTCATTATAAATTTGAATTATATTTAAAATATAGATAGTTACAAGTGTATATGTGCATAATTCAGTAATTTATGAATTTATTGAATTTTCATTTATTATAAATTTAAGTCTTATTGTCATTGAAATATTGAAAAATGTGAAAAATACTGTTGTGATATCTAATTAAGTATTATAATAAAAATAATTATAAAAATATGAAATAAAGACAGTAGGCTTTGATTAAAATTACATTTATAAATAGAAATAAATATCATAAATGTATAATTACAATGTTCTAAATAACAATTAATCAATTTGATAAAAAAGATTTTCTTAATAAACTGTAATAATATATTTGCTGCACAAAATTATAGTTATAAATCCAATGTATACAAAGTAGAATAAGCATAACAAAATCTTTTAAAACGTTCATGAGAGTTATGAATATGGTATATTATATAAAAACTTTTACAGAATAAAAAACCAATCAATTATATTTGAAAAATGCATAAAGATATTGATTAAATAATATAGTATAATAAACAAGCAAAGAAAAAATAGATATCAAACTAGAGAAAATGGAAATAGATAAATGATTAAAAATAATAAAATTTATCTATACGATTAGATATGTAAAATCAATATAAAACAATTTCGAAGCGCAAAGATAGTAATATAAGAATTACCAATTGGAATATCACATATAAAAATATTAAGATATATTAAAAAAATATTAAATACACTGAAAAATTTTATAAAAAATTAGTAAAAATTATATTAAATTGCTTTTTCTAGGCAGTATAATACCTTTTAATTTTGAGATAAATAAACACAAATAAAACAGGTAATACAAAACAATAGAATATTTATATTGTATTCAAATTCCAAATAATATAAATTGAAAAATTTTAAAAGTATTTTTTCATTTAATATTGAACTAAATTTATTTCGTATGGAAATATAATCTGAGATTAACATATAATAAAACATGTGAGTATAGACATATGTTTATTGAGAAAAGGCTTTACTAAAAATCGGTACATAGAAAAACGAGAAAGAGTTTAGATGAAAAGTTAAGAGAGAAACAGAGTAAAAATGAAAATTGGTGCTAAAAGATGAAACTGAAAAAAATAGATTTAAAAACTTGGAAAGAAAAAGAATGTAACGAAGAAATTTAAGAAGAAAGAAAATTTAATGAGTACGATGATCAGAACATAAATTTCAAAATACACACACACACACACACACACACACACACACACACACGTATATATATATATAAATTACTAATATTAAGGACAGGTATAAGAAATTTTAAAAAATATGAAAGTTTTTACTGAAAAGCTAATTAATATATAGAAAAAGGTAATATAATGAGATTCAAAAGTAAAATCTGATATAAAATAGGAATATAAATATTAAATTAATCTTTTATTTGAAATCATAATGTTTTTTGAAAACTTCATCATGAAAGAAAATTTGAACATGAGGGAATAATTTGAAACAATATCGCATAATAATAATAAAAATAATAAAATTGATATTGAATAATAAAAACGTATAAATGCAGTTTTATTGGGTTTAAAAGTTACAATATTTATTATAATGGTTATGTTCAATGTTTTACAACAATAATATTTATACATTTATATGAACATAAACATAAGTTTAAAAGTATTACATCATGAAATGTTAATAATAATAACGTAAGCGTGTAAGTTAGTTTTAACGTTAAATCTAAAGCGTAAACATAAATAAACAAATTTCAGTTGAATAAGTCGAAAATATTATATAATATATCAAATATATGACAATAAATGTAATCGATAGACTTTATATACAGAAATAAATGTCAGTG